TTGATTAAGTAAGTACATAAGTAAACACTATGCTTTAAATTCACAGAAGAGGGTCAATGATGTAAAGTTATTGTGTCTAATAGCGACGATCCTATTTGGATATGCATTTAGTGACACTTTTACAAAGCAAAGAGTGATGGGTCACGTTTAGTTTTTGTTTTATTGGAGAGAGTGGCAAAGTAAACCATGTAACACAAGCGCTGTCATAGAAGATATAAAATAAAAAATATTTGGGTAATAGAAATAAAATAAAACTTTTTGGCAGTATTGGAGTTGATGATTGCATTTTAGGGATGGGGGGAAGGAACATTGTATCACGCCGGTTTTCCCTGAAAATTTGGAATCATACCGGTCAAGCTAGGTATAGCGTACTCTTTTCAATGACTATTACTACATGTAATTCCAAACTCTAAACATGAAGAATTAAAACTCAATATCCAAGATCTCCTTACGACATTTCTTCTTAACATATTATAATCAATTTAATTTACGGCAGCATTTCTTCTTTATAAGGACGGAGCCCAAATTCCTTTCAATGGTTCATAATATAACTTAGCTAATTGAATTATCCAGTCGTACCAAGGGAATCGCGATGAGATTATACGGATGTTAATTGATAAGATGAGAGATTCGGTTTGGCTTTTGAAATATAAGTGGATCAGTCGCTGAGCTACTTATATATGTAGGCACATACTTATTATATTCGTCAATAGATTAAAGATCAATTAGGCTTTACTGTACGTAAAAGTCGAATTTCGGAAAAATTACAATGATTTTCACTTTTGTTTTCTTTGAAAACATTCTATGCTTAGTTTAATGATATTCTATTTATTTATTATAAGGTAGGCTCACAGCTTATGTATACAAAGTGGTTTAAAGTAATGGTTATAGGCAGTAGGTCATATACATTAGCCAGTTACGAGCTAACCAACATTCTAAAAATTATGCGTTTATACAGTCAAAATATATAAAAATTAAAACTAGTACTATTTTAATTTAAGTGAATCTAAAGTAAGTCTTTAGTTAAATATTTGAATATTGCAGCCCATTAAACACCTACTGTTGACCAAGAGCTTCTTTTCATAAGGAGAAGTTATAAGCATTTATCATAGGCTGAAACATATAATTAGAAATAATAAGTCTAGGTTTCCTCATAATGTGTTCCTTCACCGTTCGTCAGTGGTGTTAAAATAATCTTAGAAGCTACATATATCTTGGAAAAGACACATGATACTGGTCAGGTTTTGGATGACAGACTCATTATGGTCAGCAGCAGGGGTGGCAGGGTAAGCGCAATGAGGCACCACGGCTTTGGTCTAGAGCCGGAGAAGGAACGGGGGGTTTTTAGTCAGTAAAAGTCTGACACTCCCTCAGTACTAGTCCCAAGTAATTTGATGATCTTCCCCTCACAAAAAAAACCTCACGATGAAAAGCGGCCTCAACCTTTGCCCAATCTCGGCATTACATCGCTATTATATACGACAGGCATAAGTTACTTCACAGTCAGCTCAGCGGCTGGGCAACGGTCTGAAACAACTCGATACCAGATTAAACTAGCTACAAATGGTTGGTTCGAATCTCAGTGTATTGAAAAGCTACGTGTTTTAAATATAAATGTAGTAAAATTATTGCAATTATTTGTGATTACAAAATAGTATTTATAGAATACCTAGTAATTAGTCACTATTGTTCAACAAAAACTACGTATTTGATACGTTAATAGGCTTTCCAATTGATTGCGTTTCCAAAAGCGAGTAAATATTTGTTTTAAAGCAATTTGATCAATGGTAAAACAAACAACTCGAACACAAATATGAAATCAAATGGATGATTGGAAATACGATAAAATATAAATATAATTGCCTAATTATATTCATTCGGGAACATCTTTTACAAACGACTTATAAGTTTTAATGAGGGAGAGCCAAGCTTCGGCACGAATGAGTCGGCTCAACCGGAGTGATACCACGGCCTAACAGAAAACCGTTTTTTACGCTTGTTTTCGACCACAACGTTGTGTTTATACAATTTGAGATTTGCATTAAATCCGGACTGTGAACAACAAATCAAGTACCATGAAAAATTGGTCGTTGTGGGAAATGAACCAGCCGCCGTATCAGCCGGGTCCGATATACCGAACGTACCATTATTATTATAATAGATATATCCAATATGCCAATTACTATGTGTCTTATTATATGCAAGTAAACGTCTTTCCATCGGGTACGCTATTATAGCAGCGGTAAGACCCCTCTTTGAGGAGTAACTTGAGAGACGCCACGGCGTCCTCACCTTCCGCCTGACGCAGGTCCTAGCCGGGCACGGCAGCTTCGGTAGGTTCCTGTTTCGGATCCAGCGGGAGGAAACGCCCGAAATGTCATAGGATGATTTTCCCCTCACAAAAAAAAACGTCTTTCCGTCATTGTTCGTATCTATCTCTTGTAAATAAATAATGAATTATTATGCAAATATTATACGTTACACAAATTGGCTTTTTGACGTAAACTATCACCAACAGTTGGCCAAACTCGGCAGCTGTGTGCGCCCAATGAGAAAGTTTGAGGACCGCAGAGACTACTCTACAGCATAAGTGGTGTTGAACTAGTTCACTTTTTTATTTAGGACATTTGGTTTATTAACACATATAGTATGTTGAAATACCAAACTTTTTAATTAACAATTGCCATAGAAAAAGTTATAAAAAATATCTTTTTTTTTTCAAATAAAAGTCAACTCAACAACAATGTAAAAACAGCCAGTGCAAAGTGCAAAAAATATATAATTCCTTATGAGAATATGAGAGAGAGAGAGAGATCGAGACATTTTTCGTGTGTGCTAAGCAAAAGCCTCTTCTCAAACGGAGAAGGTTTGAGCATCAATCACTACGCATGTTCGTGTTGAATTGGCAATTTCATACTAATAAAAAATGAAAGGTCCAGAATTCCTCACAATGTTTTTCCTTCACCGTTTGTCAGTGGTATTTAAATGATCTTAGAAAGTACATTTAACTCAGGAAAAGTCAATTCACATTGGTATTTGATAGCTTTCTAAGTCTTAGCCTCATGCATGTCAAGCGGGCGTCTTAACCTACGGGCCAGAACGACCAACCCATAAAATGAATTTTTTTAACAAAAAAATCGGAGACATTGTATTAGATAGGATTTTTTTTTTTATTTTTGCCTTTATACGTATACCACAATTTAACTTCACAATACTACAAACATCATATCGCGAACAGTAAACACTTTTTTATTAAACTTGGCAGTCTAGATGCATTGCCTTTGCCACCCCGCGTTCCAGTGACAAATATATATGAACTAAGAACCAGAGTTATTGCCCTGGGCGCAATGAGCTACTACTGCCGTCTACTTGAAATACGTTCAGGTTTTCTTCAACTTTAAAATTAAATCTTTTTTGAGAGACTTTTAAAGTACGTAGTCTGAAAGAAAGACTTAGTTGTTTCACTGTTTCTCCTTTCTTTGTAAACAGGACACCAATTTCTTTCATTTTATTTTCGGTTGCTTTTTTTAATACTTTAATATACTAAATATTACATCTTTGTACTTTTGGAGCGATGAGAGAACAGATTGTAAAGTTTCTCATCCTCCATTGAAAAGGGAGGATCCTCCGACCAGACGGATGTTCTAGGGATTTTTATACCTACCTGTTCTAATAGGCGTCAAGAACTATTATACCGCGATGTAGAATCTTGAATGTGATTGGTGCTGTTGCTGCGTATTGTGCGATGGATGTCGCTACATATTCATACACCTTTGTTCGACCACATTTTAAAATTTAAAACACAATAAAAAGCGCACAGATAAAAACGAACGCAAAGTTCGAATTCAAACAAAGAATTCGAACACTAGAGTAACGTCACGTGAGTTATCAAAACGGTTACTTGACGTTAACGTATAAGCATTCTCAATTCATTAGCAATTCAGAACTTTCATAATTACGATACGAATTTTATTCTTTTTACGAGAACTCCAGACGTTATAATGCTGCCATTACTATAGTATATTCCTTTAATGGTATATTTTAATAGCTATTACAAGGAACGCTAGCGTTAATGACTCTATTCTCATATAAAATCTGTAATGCCGGTTTTTAATGAACACTATGCTTTTGTATTGAATATTTTAATTGATTTTCTTTGTGGTTGAAATGAGATTGCATTTCAAAGCGCTTTGTTTACTTGCTTTAATGAAATTAAAAAGGAGTTTTTAAAATTGTTTATGTTGAATAATAAATGTACTCGCAGTTTGACTATTAAAACAATTAAGTATTTATAATTATAAAAAATACATAAGAGAAGAAATAAATAAATTGCGTACCATATATGAAAAACATAGTAGGTAGGTTCTGAAATGAAAAAATATTTTTTAAATTTCTAATACCACAATAACCACTGAAAGACCACACATCGACCTTTGTTTATGGAAATTTAAATAAATTAATAAATATTTGAACTATGAATATATTATTAACTATGATTATAGTTTAAGGAAATAAATATAAATTAATAAATATTTGAACTATGAAGGTAGAGAGAGTTTATTTTGAACCAGGACTATACATGCCTATCCTTAATAGAAACAAGTAAAAGCAAACGATAATCTGTAAAGCTATTATGTATTTTATACGTGTTGTATTATTTTCTGCTAGAATCATGAAGAACATTTTTCACATCAGTCTGGCAAAGAATTCAACATAGGGCAATCGATGTGACAAGTTTCGTTTATGTAGCGATATCATACCTAATGAAAAGTGAACACGTACATATGTCTATGCTACGTTTTAACATTTAACCTTTCAATAGTGATAATTCCAGACATAATAAAAGAAAAATAGGTGCGTAAACGCCAGCATTCGCTTGGGGTTTGGTGAATTATTTTTTTCCAAAGACTTACAGAACTTTGAATACAAATTATAATAATATATTTAAATACATTCGATATATAAACAACAAGACTAATAGCTTTATTTGTTTGTTACAGATTCCAAACGGGACCATTGCAACAAGACGGTGGAAATATACGAGGACGTGTCCTCCCCTCCTGTCACCTCTGAGAACTTCGGGAGGCCCCTCACTTGCACATATAGGTACTTATTATAGTGTATGAGTATAGTAATTGTTAAGAATAATAATGAATAGCATTCACAGCCTTGTTGGTTTAGTCGCAAGAGCTAAAGTGGGGTATGAGTGTCATTCTAATTCCTTGATCGGAAAATAATATTTTAAGCTGTTTCTGTTAAAAGCCTATGTCACGAAATAATACTACTTGAGACTTATCAAAGTCTTAGTCAAAGTCAAAATCACTAAATTCCAACTAAACCATAAATAGGTAGGTACTTTTGAAACGTCAAAATTAGTAGTCTGCCAGTCTGTTCCTCAGTGAAGTTATAAGTAAGTAGTATAGGTAATTAGCACTTTTAATTATTTGGTGTGCAGATAAGAAAATAAAGATTGACTCAGTACAGGGATACGAGGTATTTTTATAATATTAAGTTTTCGATGAAGAAAGAAAATATTAGTCAACAACGATTGGTTGTCTTCGTAGACAAAAAATTGTTACTGTCTTTACTAGACTTTACTTTTAAAATAAAAAAAAAAATTGTAATACTTCTTAAGAATAAAACAATCGCCAAATCATAATTCTTCTTATCCGAACTTCGATAATTGATACGACTAACGAAGACGCAATCCAATAATATTTCCTGGAATAGAAATCAAGTATCATTAATAATGAATGCTCAAAGGCTCAAGGAGTTATTCCCTATATCATTAGATAAATATTACATATTTCATTCCCATCAAAATGTAGGTCAGTGACTTACCGACTTACCCGAACTTAACACGTACTCAGAGCATTTTTGCCATACAAAAGAGCGATGATTGATGTTATTTGAAGAAAGTTGTGTGCTCTTAGCGAACACAGGATCAAAAGAAACTACAAAGTGTGGGAGAACATAAAAACCGTATTAGACCGACCAAGTCAGTTTGGAAGCGATATAGGATAGTACTTTACAAGTTATGTGAAACATTTTTGTTTGTTTATGATATTTTTCTTGTTATTTATGTGTGGTTTTCTAATTTGGTACGAGTAGGTAGTCTAGTTCTTTTTAAAATGATGGTATTGTAGGTTGAGATGTTATGGGTATAATTTACCAAGACTCTTAACTTTTCCATCTCGTATCAGTCTGCAAAAAAATCAAGCCTTTGGTCAATTTGGTAAGATTGGATTATGAAGCGCACCACTATTACTGAAAAAAATGAAATGTTTGTAATCAGTTGGTTTGCAATTTTTTCACATAGAAACCTAAAGAAACAGGATATTTTGATTCCGAGATGAACTTTACCGAATTTTAAGAACAAAGATAAGATTATACACAAAAACCACTGATCCCTGAACACGCATACGTACGGACACATTCCCATAAAAAATGTCATGATTAATAATTTTCTCACACACAGGAACTAAACGATAACGAAGCCTCAGGCATTTTCGTCGGAAATAATACCGATGATAAATTGAAGTAATTTATTACATCCAATATTGTGCAAAAATAAGATTTTCAGCTTTCTTTGCTTTGGATAACAATAAATGATACTTATGCGATGAGAACGATTATTTCTCCTAACAAAAATGTTTTTCACAGGTTTCGAGCCTTTCGGGGATCTCCAAAAGATTGGATACTAAGGATTAGGTTCAAAAAGTTCAAAGTGGGAACCCTGATCAACGGTACGACGTGCCACAAGGGATACATGCAAGTAAGTACCTGAAATAGAAAACAGATATACCGCGTATTGAAAGAGATTGCTTTTGTTCTTGGTTTAGGATTAAGAACAGTGTCAATGTTTGAAGATACAACAACTAGTTCAAAGAAAAGTATTTCTTTTTATAAGAAGGTATATTAATAAATCTTTAGTGTCAACAATACAGGTAATTTAAAGAGTAATTCATCATTTTTAATAAAAAGAAAATATCTCATCCGGCCTTTTCACAACAGATGGCTAACGATGAAAGAATAGATTTTAATAATTCTTCTTTCTGCCCATTTAAAATCGTCTCGGAAGGAAACGATGAAAAGTGGAGAAAAGCAATTGGTAAAACAAAAAGTTTTAAGTCATCAAGTCGTGAAAATCGGCCGCCATCACGAGTACTACTAATTGAGTCGGCGTACGCTTTCGAAATTCTACTAATTAATTTTTGAACTCGTCTGACGGGTGAAAGAACTCGGAACTCGGAGCGATCCAATTCGAGCGTAATTATTGAATCATTCTACGTTTGTAGATTTGCGAGTTTACAAACTCGACGAGTTTAGAATTCCAGTGTGATTTCGATTTGTAATGTTTACGCATATTTGGAATGGTACGGCTATTAGCTGTTATCCTTATTTAATAATGAGACTTTTATCGTTTCAATAATTTGTGGATAATTATTAAATAATTTATGAGAAAATATGATTTTTATACGAAACATCAAATTGAAATAAAATAACGATTACTTGATTGCTGAATAACTATATATCTTAACAAGTTTTTAAAGCTCAAGATAAATTATAACTACACGTTAAGAATAAAGAAAAATAACAACTAAAAGTTTTAGTAGTCAAAATAGAAAATATTTTAGATAAGCTAGCTTATGTTAGATTTACGAAAGAGGTAAATCGAACGAGAATAAATGGAGACGAGGGTAGAGGACGTCCTCGGTGAACATTCGACGACCGAATTAAAAAGAGCAAAATTACACATACTCGCAGCCGACGAGCGTGCATAAAGAGATTAATTAATTTTAAAGAAAATACGTTCCTTTTCCAGAAGTAATAGATTTGGAATTCCATTATCATTGACATTTATATGACCGTGTATTTGTATTGTTATTACTTTCTTTAAAACCATTACTTTTGTGCGGTTACTACATAAGGTTGTTAGTTCAACACACTACATTGTTTTGTTGATTTTTGAAAATAGAGCTTGTTTAGGTACTGATGTAGACTAAATAAAGCCTAATATTTCGTAACTAATTTACAAAACTTCGCAGATAGTGGACGGCAACGCAAAGACGGATGTTTCAAACAGGAAGGAGCCAGGTCTCTTCTGCGGCGAGATAGAACAGCCTCAGACGTTCATATCGGAAACCAACTTCGTGAAGATTGTCTTCCACGCCGACAACTTCACTGATCAAACTTACTTTAGCTTCGATTCCAGGTCAGTGATCATGTTAAAGGGGGTAATTTAATATAGAACTAAAGGGTAGACTAGGTTTTAAGTTGGAAAATTTTGTCCAACAACTCCATCGGAGTTGGTTGACAAAGTACTTTCGATATTAGTTTCAAATTCAATTATGACTTTTAGAGGTGTATTGTGTTAATAGTTGAACGTTGTTATAGAGTATGGTATAGTCAATTTAATTTTAGATTCTATCCACCAATTAGATATACATAAAATGTAATTGGTATAACTTCTTGTCTGTTTTCGTTTTGGACTAAACTTGAATAAGCCTTTGATATTTTACTTCAAATTGCTTTCTTCAATATTAATTTGAACATTAAATATGCATATTGTGCACCTAAATAAATAATAAATTGGTAGTTCAATAATCCATATTATTCCAAAGAAGTCAAATGCTGTACAAAGTGTTTACATTTAATTTCCTTTACAGGGCGGAGCAACAATTCGAAGTGTATCTACGCTACGGGCAGCATCCAGAATTGTACCCCAACCGAAGAGGGGAAGTAGTTGCGGGGTATGTACATATTTAAAGTTCACCTCCCTATAGATGTTAATTGAAGAAACTTTAATGTCTAATTGATGTAACGAAGTAAACTGTAAATGTTTGGAATACAGTTCGAGTTGTAGAATCAAATAATGGAGTTGCTGATGGTGTAAACGCGATTGGAATGAAACATAAGCAGTTTGTTAGAAGTCAGTTAGATGATTAAGCACAAAATTTAGGGTGGTGTATGCTAATATGTAGCTTGGATTTTGTTTCTGGAGAGTCAAATACATATGTCTTTTATATAATTAAAATAAACAATATAATTCAGCAGAAGATTAAGTCTGTGTATACCTATATTAATATTAGATGAAATATTATAGCATTTGTCAGCGTCGTTAAGAAAAGTCTGTAACATGTTACACATTCATAAATTACATTTACAATTTAGTACCGTCTTTATTCAAAGTAAGCACAACATTACGTAAGCTATGAACGTGAAGAAAGTTAAGATTAATGATGATAAATAAAAGACAAAGAATTTACAAAACAAAATTACCTCATTGCGTCTCATTTTACATACGCTAACGAGATCTAATAATAGAATTATTTGAGATACACGTACAGGCTCGCAGAGGGAAACAGGACCCCTGGCAAATACAGACCTTCGTTTATACAAATTGCCTCAAAGATTATTTTTATCGTAATCAGATACAACATGAAACAAAACATACGGGTCCCACAAGGAGGCGTCCTCGGCCCTGACTTTATTTAAATTATTTGCCAAATTGCGATGCCGACTTCAAAGGGAATTCAAACGTACGTGATGAACATTTTAAAGCAAATCGTTTGGAAAAGCTATTCGGCATTGTCTGCGCCTCTCAGAGAGATCGATTCTGTTTTGAGTTCAGAATGGATGTTTTGAATTGGAAAGATCACGTTTATGCTTATTGTAGTGTTGAGACAGAGTTCGCAGTAACACCTCGGAATGAAGGTAGAAATAATATATTCAATTATTGACAGGTATGTAACTGGTGAAATTCTACTTAATCAGTTGGATTATGGCTATACATTGAGGTGTGAATTATGTGGCTATCGCATCAATAATAAGACAACTAATGGAAAAATTTTAACTAAAATAATATCAGTGTTTCATTACCTAGTACGATCAGATACTTTAATATCAATGTACTGAAATTTGCACGTGAAGATAAAGCATATAATTTGTAATCAATTGTAATTGGTACTTACGCTTGAACCATATTAACGTGACTTTTAATATCACCTCATAAAAGATATAAAAATAAATTACCCTTTAATAAAAACGGTAAATTTATTAAAATCTGAGTAATAAAAACGGTAAATAAGTTCAGTAACTGTTAATTCGGGGTATGATAAATTGTTATTTGTTGCCGCCGAATTTTGCTGTCGAAAGTTTTCAATAATTTAGTATCATATTCCATACAATTTATATTCTCGTTTATTATGAACAAAATAATGTTCGTAAATAATGGATCACGAATTTCTTTTTTATGGAACGTGATACCTCCTTAGTTTCAAAATCAACATAACTGTGCAAGGTGAGAGCACAACATTTTATATTTTCATTTTTAATATTAGCAGTCTTTGTTCCACGAAAGCGTTATTAATGATTCGAACACCTTTAACCTTTAACAAGTACGATAAGTACTAGAGAACGTGACTGGAAAGTTTATGATCCCTTCATAACCTTCAAGAGCTTTGCCGAAAATCGTGACACCCAATTTCCATGCCAATAAATCACTAACTCAATACTTCAAATCATCACTCGACGGCCACTGCATAAATCAAGTTCGAGTTGCCAATTACTTAAGGAGCTTATCCCGAATGTCGCAAACGTTCTAGAATCATTCTGACCGGCTCCAAATGGCTCCACTTTGGTGGGTACGTGACCGAAATGGCTTATAAATCGTGTTGAATTGTCGGCACGGGCTCACTGCCCACCTATTATTGCAGCCACATTGATTTATGCGTTGTAATCAAGTACTCGAATTAAAGTGAGTGAGGTGCGTACTAGCTGATTCAGGGATTTCTTTTTTTTAAATTGGGAACCTTTTTGACGGCGCACGAAAGGGTGCTTTAGCGAATGTTATTTATAAACGTGACTGTGCAGAATTTTTGCTGCGTATTTTGTTTTGCTGACGCATTTTATAACCATGTAAGGTCTGATGTCAATATGGGAAATACTGCAACTCATGTCATGTTGAGAGGTATAAAATTGCAAAAGTGTACGTGAGCAAACATTCTTGCTTTATTGCATGCAAGCGTACTAAAATGAACAATTTTATCGCGTTAACTTTACAAACGATGTCATGACTTATAAACAGGTTTTATACAGTTTGCGTCTATATTCATAAAACATAAGAGTACAATGTATTTTACTATATCTCCTGAAGGTTTATGAAGCATTATCTATTCAATGTAACGTAGCATATTTGATTATAACTCTCTAGAAATAAAACTCTGAATCAAAAACGCTTATTCCGCTAAAGACGAAGCTGCCAAGTAATTACTCCGACAATTTAAAAAGTCAGCAATTAAAATTCTCGTGGGGAAAAATATGAGGAATACCGAAAAATTTACAGCAAAAATCCTCCAAGTAAAAGTGTCAGGGATAATGATTTCGTTCAGCTTTGTTAGCGAATTAACTTAATGAAGGAGAGCAATTTTTCTCAGGTCGTATTGCGAAAGAGTGTTTCGAGATTGCCGGCTGCAAACGTGTTATGTACAGTCGGCTGCCTACCCTGGAGTGTATCCAAGAAATCTTCATTGCAGGCAAGTCTATTACTGTATTTTATTGTTGAACACCGACGGCTTTTATTTCCTCTCCTTTAACTTTGTAGTGTTAATTACTGATACTATTACTGTTTCAAGGGTATTTGATATTGGAAAGCTTTCGATTGCTTTTACGGTATGTTGTAGAATGTAATAGAGTTCCAATATTAATAATATTATTGAAAAGTTTGTGAGAACGTGTTTTGAACTTTTACACAGCACTAAGTAAACTAGTTAATTATTCATTTAACTGCTTCGCGATATTGAACATATTTTTCAAAGTTCACTTTACTTAATGTATCAGTTGATAAAATTGGCTTCTTAAAAAAACGGCTTTGATTTAAATTAATTAATTCCAAGGTCGTCAAGGTATTTGTTAAAAATATTAGGATTGCCTAAATTAGGTCTTCGGGCCCAATAAATTAGAACCCAGTAAAGTATCTCTTCAAAGTCATGGAGCATAGCAGAAATTTTGATGAGGGTTGTCCTGGCTTGGACAAATGTGTTTGTTTAGGTCCAGAACGTTAAATATTGTTTGTCAACGATGTTTTCTCCGGCACTGTTTGTGACGACAGCACTTTATAGAATTTACTATAACTCCAAATAATATCCTTCTTAGTAAAAATGATAATAGAATACTTCGATGAAAAACTCGTATAAACCAATATTATTATTTTAAAAGGTTTGCTAAAATTATTCTGGATTGCATTATAATATAATATAGTAATCAAATTTGCAATTTAACAATTTGTACTGGTGGAATAAACAATCCAATGACAACAAAATATTTCTACATAAGCACCCAAACTATATTATAATCTCAACATGAGGGGGGCAAATTTCTTGTTCCCGTTGTCCCACACGTAAAACTCTTAACTATTGAAAAGCAGATAAGGCGTTCAATAATGTATTATTTGTTCTAGATACCATCTGAACACAAGACTTCCCTACATAAAATTGTACATAGAGAACGAAGAATTCAACATAGATGGACAGCGATGTGAAAATATCATGACCTGTCCTATGAGACCAATAACTTCTGGTAAGTGGTACCAAATGTTGAAATTTCTAATTAAAACATACAAGATATAGATAGATAAACACGAGACGACATAGCCCAAAGGCTTAGCAAACTAAGGTTAAAAGGAAGAGCAGGTAACAATTGTTAAAGAACCGATGACCGTTGGGATAATCGTGTTCCTCGTCTATGTAAACGTAGCGGGCACCTTTCAGCAAGGTGGACTGACGATATCCGTAGGATGGTTGGCAGTGGTCGGATGGGACGAGATCAAGCTCATGATGATGAAGATAAAAAGGATTGGAGTCAATTTTGTTTTAGTTTATAGCCATTTATATTTTTTAATCGACTTCATAAAACGCGATCACCGGCCAAGCGGCTACTATTTATCATATCCTGAGTTTGATAACCCTTTTTTTGTCCGCAAATGATTATTCTAGAACTAAAAATATCTCGACGTGTGAATTTGTATGTTTGTAAACGCACACGATACAAGAAAAAATATTGGTTTGAGGTCATGTTAAAGACGGGGTTGGAGGACAAAGTGCAATGTGCCGCGGCCGCGGCCCGAACCAGGGTTATTTTGTGGTGGTGTTTTGCCAGAAAGAGTCAGTATTAATTCTGGCCGCATCACGGGTCCCACCCTTGATAGGGCTAGAAGTAGTCAAATCAAGGGAAGAAGTGGCATAAAGAAAATCATACTATGATTTTCCCCAATCAAAAAAGAGATCCAACAAAAAAAAGAGATGAAAAACGAATTGCTTTTTTACTTTCATTCCGACTCCAACTGAGCAGTGTAAGGGTATCTGAGTCGATAAGAAAGTTAAGAGCCTTTAAGTGCCAAGTAAATGTTGTTAGATAGGATTAGAGAAATTACGGAAGACTATCCGCTAAGCTTTTAACAATATTTTCGGTTTGGAAAAGGCGCTGTGTAAAAATGAGCACTTCTGCAAGTGTTCCTTTTAAAACTATGTTTGTGTATTACTGTTATTAAACATAACTTTCTAAAACAGTTTAGCTTAGTTAAGAAATAAAGATCATTTTGTGTAGTTTTATGCAGATGGAAATACATTTGGAATTATCTTAAAACGAAATATCCAAAATATAAAATACGAAATACGATAAAATTGAATTTAAAACTTTAAAGACGATCCCCAGAACACAAATATTTGTTCAAAATAACAAAATTATCTTCTAAACTACATCGTCTTGAACATCGCAATATCTAAACTGGGAATACGTTTACACTTGACTCGAATTGGCCACTTTAGCGAACGTACAATCGTTTGGACGAAATAACCAATTCGAGAGTTCGATTCTACTAAAAAAGCAATTGAGAACGGATCGATGTGTCGATCAAACTAGGCTTGCATCAGCAAACATGGCCACGTCTTTGATAAAATTAGATTGCACTTCGGTTGAATAAAGAGAAGAGATGAAATTGTAGGTATACAGGTATCATATAGATCTATATATATATCATAAGTAGAGTTGATAAAACACGTCATTCATTGTCAATCGTCACCGTCAATCATTCTTCGTCTCTCTCGGAATAAGTTTATTCAATTGAATCCATGTAGAAAACAAAAGCATTTTTTTTTGTTAGTTTGAAATTATTGTATTTTTTTTTTTATTTTGTCGTAGTGGGTTTAAAATTTGGCAAGTACTAATGTGACTTTTTCCAAGTTATATATGTACATTCTACGATTATTTAGAGTCCACTGACCTGAAAGTAAACCATCGCGAAGAAACCTGGACTTCTTTCTGATTTTAAGTTTGAAATCGCTAATCGGCCTTGAGCAAGCGAGGTGATTAATGATTTAACCTTCTTTATGTGAGAAGAGGCCATTGCTCAGTAGTGAGTAGTTATAAGCTGATGATGTGTTATATACTCCCATTGGTGAAATCTGGTGAAATTTTAGTGTCCTACAGAAAAATACTAGTGTTATTGAACTTTACGTCTGAACCATTATTTACAACACACCTTGTATAAGCGCAATTTTTCCTGTATGCTGTAGAGTACGGTCGATAAGTCTGGTTTAAAATTCCAGCATGTCATATGACTCCTGTGCAGCTTGTAGCCAATCCCGATCGAGTAAGTTAATCCTTGAATTTTGAACATGACGCGTAACACAAATTATGTGTTCAGTTTACGGTTACCAAAAAGATTTTTAAGGTACATGCATAGTCAGAAATGAGTATTGTATATAAATAACAATATTTTTCAAATATTTCTTTAAAATAAATGATAATTATGCAACTTCATGTCTAGCTTATTCGCTCTGTTACTCAATTTCTAAATAAAATTCGGTTTGTATTCCGTTTCGGCGACGATCTCGGCTTAAAGTAGGTGAAAGAAGGTGTGATTTTTAGCCAGTAAAAATTTGACAATCTCTCTCGTCCCCACAAAAAACCAAGGAACACGAAACTACTGATTTGAATTGAACAATTATTTTTGTTGAATAGTCCACTATACTGGGAAGAGACTAGACCTGGCAATACTATAGTATATGACGCTATAACCAATAGAAATGGGCAAAAACACTGTGAACCTCTCATATGTCCAAATAGATTATCCGTCAATAAATCCGAGTCAGTAAAGTTAGGTTCTAAATTCAGCCTTATGCTGTAAACAACAAGAGCTAAAAATCTATAAATAACCAGCTTCAACATCTATAATTTAATCTCAACTCTCGAGAATACAATAACCATTTTCCTTCTAACATTTTTTACATAACACAGCAAGGTGTTAAGTTATGGGTGCCATAAATAACTGCTATCCAATAACGGACATTAAATCTATACTGCCCTGACTCGCCCGATATTAAATTCTTATACTGGTCGACTTTGTTCATGTTTTAACGTTAAATTTTGAAGTAAATAATATATACTTGCGGTCGTGTCACTTTGAATTACCTATTATATAGATTTTATGATTTTTTTTTTCGTTCTTAGCTTAAGTTTATCAACATGATCTTTTTTTATTATTAAAACGTTGCCCTACACTAGGATTTTTTCCTGTGTCGTAGGTGTGTTTACAAACATACAATTTCACATACACATCACACCCAGACCCGGAACCACAATTTGTGAATCACACAAAGAGTTGTTCCGTGCGGGAATCGAACTCGCAACACGTTGCGCGCTCGCAGCCACTTGCCCAGCTACCGCGCCAACCGGCAGTCATCATAAATTCAATAATTTTTTTTTTTTCAGTAAACAAAATTATAATTAATAAACGTGCAGATAACTTTTTTGAGGCAGGAAAATCATCAAATGACCTTCTCGCACCTAGGGTACGGCGAAAGGGAGTGTCAGACTCTTACTGACTAAAAACCCTCCTGTAACTTTTTCTGCTTTAGCCCAAGGCCACAGTCCCCGATTACGCTTGATCCGAAACCTCCGAAAACTTTGAGACAGCTGTTAATCTCATTTTATTATATTCTCTTTGATCTCAAAATCATAAGAAATGTTATTCACATTTTACAAACCGATTCTATTCTAACAAGAAAAAAAAAATTCTAGGCTTATACTTTGAACAACTAAGAAAACTTAAATCACATGATCTTCAAATGAGAATCATGCTAAAATAATATCACTGTGAATAAAAATTGCGTAAACGTGAGAGTTTTTAAATAAATATTCTGCGTATAACTTGATACAATTTTTCCCAGTGTATCCGAAGTTTTATAGAAGCTAGCGGATTGAAAAATTGTGTTGTAGATAGACCGTGATTTGCCTCGGCGGGGTTTATATGAATATGAAATGTGGGTATCGCTAACTTATTTCCAGCAGACGGTTGGTTATGAAGTGGTTTAACATGTTCTGATAGGTAATCTGAATTTAAACGATATTGCTTTAAGAGGAACGTTATGTTTTCATTTTAAAGTCAACTTTTAGAGCAATTTGTTGGTAATTTTTGAGATGGAAGGAAATTAGAACTGCAGGAATATGACTTAGTAATTTAATGACTTTTATAATGTATTTTTTTTATTGGTTACCCTATTTCGAGTGCACAGACTTAGCGGTTAGCGCAATGTCTAGGCAACCGGCTACAGCGCAACGCGTTTTCGATTCCTAAAACATCAACTCTTTATGCTCCACAAATTGTTATCTAAGTTTCACGTAGATTCAAAACTGTGTGTTTAAAACCACATCTAAGTTAATTTTCTTCATTGTTCTCTCTCAGGTTCAGAAAACTGTCCATATGACTACATCAGGATTTACGATGGCAAGGATGAGTCAGCATCAGTGATTGGCACCTTCTGCGGCATGGGAAAGTTTCCCTACTCCATTATTGGAACTTCCCAGGACTTGTTCGTGGAGTTCGTGAGTTCTCCAGCAGGTAATGACATACAATTTCTTTAATTTATTACTATATTAAGCATAACACAAAACTTATTTGCAACTAGTACCTGCCATATTTTTTTTCGTCACATATCGTTTTTAAAGACTACTCACAACATTATTGGTTGCCAATTCATTGTTTAAAAAAAGAACCCAACTTTATATTCGATCGACAAACTAAAATCTAACCTTTTTTTAATCACCAGGTCCACTTCTGAATACCGGTTTCCATTTCAATGTTGGTAACTGGCCTGGTCACGTGGAAGCTCCAGGGTCTAAAGTGGGAACATGCGACTGGCTGCTGACTGCAGAAACCCTCAAGAAGTCAGGAGACACTGAGGGTATATTCCTCTCAGTGGCTCATTGGTATCCACCGCATACTTCATGCACGTATTTGATGCAAGGTTTCCCTGGACAAGTGGTCAGATTATATTTTCCAAGGTGAGTTGAAGAAAAATCTTGAATGGTATTTGTAATATAATGTCTCTTGTATGATAAGAGACCAGTGAAAGAAATAAATTATACTTTAAACATATCAGATAGAAGTCTTGAATTTAGGTCTTTTTCGACCAGATTGTTCTCGACATTAATACTGGGGTACACAATTTCTAGCCTGTTTTATAGGCCCTTTTATTTATCAAACACCAAGTAAAGTGTACTTATCTAACACGAATGGAAGGTCAAACTAAATAAGGCTTATTTTTAGATAATACAATAATTTTATATTTCCAACAGTTTCCGAATAAACCGCATTGAGTCTCCAATTCAACCTTGGACCGGGGATTGTGGAGAGTCTCTCACTTTGTACGACGCTCCAAGACCTGACGATGCTCGGATCATCAAAACCTTTTGTGATACCTTCAGCCGACCGATGGAGAAGCACGACTTTGTGTCCACCGGCAACGCCATGTTTGTCCGATTTGAGAGCAAGACTGGCAGCTATAGCGGGTAAGTTGGTTTTATTTAAACCACCTTAGAACACACCGTTGTGTTTCGCCGTGTGAGTGAGGTTACCGGAGGCCCAATCCCTCCCCTTCTCCTATCCCTCCCCGTTCCTTTTATCCGCAACCCCTATCCCAAAAAGGCCGGCAACGCACTTGTAACTCATTTGGTGTTGCGGGTGTCCATGGGCGGCGCCGATTGCTTACCATCAGGTAATCCGTCTGCTCGTTTGCCGACTTATACGATAAAAAAACACCCATTAAACGCCAAACGAACGCCGGCGTCCACGCACTTATTGTTCGTCTATTGTATCTCGATTTACCACTATTCAAAGGTTAAACAGCTAGCCAATTAAAGTACCAGATCTCATTGAACTAGTACGAACTTCGGGTATGCAAATGCAATTTGGTTTTTACGCTCTGTATTTCTCATCAACTAAGTTAAATGTATTGTGAGAAACGTATGTACCATAATAAGTACTGATCGGACCTCTGAGTTTGTTTCGGCATTTCTTCTCAGAGTAGTCAGATAGCAATTTTTTTATGGAATATTTCGTCATACTAGCTGACGGATTACCTGATGGTAAGCAATCAGCGCCGCCCATGGACACCCGCAACACCAAAGGAGTTACGAGTGCGTTTCCGGCCTTTTAGGGATAAGGGTTTCAGTTATTTAAGGATTGGGAAGGAATGGGGGAGAGGGTCGATTGGGCCTCCGGCTTCATTTAGTTTTCTATATATACCTATTGTTGACGTGTAAAAGTGGTGTTCTATGCTAACTGTAGAGTACATACATGCCAATATCACGATGTTAAAAGCACATGTTTTTCAAATAAATACTATAACCATGCAAATATTCATACCTGAAGATATTACACGTGTAAGATTGAACACCCAAAAACTTTTAAAGCAAACTTATTTAAAGATAAAACGAGGTACTTTGAAACAAGGTAAATAAACACAGCAACGTAATAATTTATTTGTACAGAAATATTATTACGCGATTTAAAGCTAAGAATACGAATACATCAAACAAACCTAATACATATATGGTTTTAGTAAATAAACAAACAGACATACTCTCATTTCCTACATGAAACATCGCTCGTATATATTTGTTTTCTTAAGAGCTTTTCCCGCAAAATATCATCAATTAAAATGAAGGAAAAGGACTAGACAAATGAACGAATAAATAACGTGGACATTTTCGTTGTAAACAATTTTATTGAAGCATCTCTAAGTAGATGACTGTTATTGTATTTTATTCGAATAATAGCGTCACCGAGTTTGTATGATAATAGTGTATTGTGTCAAACATTTCAGCGCGAAAAAGTGACTTTACAGTCGTTTACTCCAATTCCTATCTAAGACAAAAATCTGTTGTAAGGATTTATAATACTAAGCATTTTGAATGCCTTAATAGGCCAGACTGATGGTTAGCAAAGGACAACGCCTATGGACTCTCGTAAGGCCAAAACTAACATGTGCGTTGCCCACTATTTATGCGTTGTAGGGATTTAAAAATAATTGAAGACGGGGAAAATAATTGTACCGGCTTATTCGTGACAAAGCATCACTTTCCAACACTGAAGACTTTACAATATTTTATACTTTCAAATTCTAATCAAATTATTTTTTCAGATCATCACTCTACTATTGGGCTCACTACGACTTCTTCAATAACACGCGTTTCGGGGAACCAGTTCCAGGAACTGCTTGTGATGAGATCATAGCATCTTGGAAGCAAAGAGCTGGTAGACTAAGGTCTCCTCTGAACACCTTGGTGTACAAGCAGGCCTCACCGGGAGAAGATGTCCACTGCCTCTACAGATTTGTAACAGACAAAAGGATTTACGCTAGAGTTATTCTCACAATTTTGAGTGTTAATTTTAAGGTACGCATTTTCCTCTAGCCAGACGTTTAAAAATTTGAAAATTGAGTAATTTTGCGGGTTCGCTGTGGAAAAAAAAATTAATTTATTAATTAAGGATAAAATAACTGGAATATGCAACAAAAGAATAAATAATCAATAACAATCTTAAGATGTGTTAAAACATTTTATAATCTATCAAATAAAAATAGGTAAAGAATGGAAAAGAAATTAAATTGCATCAGAAGAGATTATTATTTTTGTATTTGACATATTATATATAGGAGAAAATATTTGGTTTTGTCTGAAAGCGGATTTTATTACATATAGCTTTTTATGACATAAATGTGAATCTTTATTAAACGACAAATCATTCTAGAAAACATGACAAAATATATTTGAACAAAGTAAATACAAAACATTTTGAATGAAAATTCACGTCTATATAATCGACAAAGTGTGAACATATTCTTCTTTTGATATCCGACTTCATCTTTAATGTTTAATATAATTTCAAGAAAATATTACAAATATTTTATGCTCTACTTCAAACTTCACAAGCCAATTAACTCGTAAAGGACTAATTTTCTACAAAATGTTTTCTTAGTTTTAGTTATTTCTTCTGTAAGCACTTAATTAATTTTATTTGAAAATTTATTTGCTGAACTAATTTCTAATTTGTTGTACGTTTATATTTCTCTCAGTTTTTCACACATATTTTTTAATCAGTAAAAGATTTACAATGTCTTTAGATTTAAAAAGTATTTAGTATTTCAATAAAATTTTCTAACGTTGTAGCCGCAAATTGAATATAATTTTAAATCAGAATCTAAAGTTTATTTCCTTTCAGGAACACCCATACACGTCGGTAACCTGTCAGAACTGCTACGAAGATCGCGCAGACAAGTTGATTATCTGGGAACCATTCCCAGGCGGAAAGTCACCAAACATTACAGCACCAGGAGTAAGCACCACTCCTCTTCCTCTCCATCTGGCTGTGCAACGGTCCCTTGGATCCTGTCTTTGTGCCAAACATGCTAATGCAGTATCTAGAGCAAGACCATACAGAGTTGTGTCTTCAGGAGAAAGCCTAAATCTCCAACTGATAGTAGACAACGCCCATGCAGCTGCTTCATACTTCAAGAACCCTTCTCCACTCTTTGAAGCTCGCTATGAATTCGTCCATGGCCCTCTCTGTGGACCTGCTGTTTTGGCAGCTGCGTCAGATGGTGAAATAGTTTACCCACATTTAGAAGCTCTTGGATACATGGAACCGCCAAAAAGGATACAGTGCATTTGGGATCTAGAAATCGAAGAAAAACGAGACATTTGGCTGCACTTTGAAAGTATTAAGTTCGCTTCACGTCACTGCGAAGATGGCAATATCCAGATTTACTTACCTGGACGTTTGGATCCATATTTATCGGTATGTGGCGATAATGTTACGGAAACCGAAAAGCTGCCAATACTATCAGCTGGCGAACTTGGCTTTGAATCATTAGACGACCCATTAGTAATGGAAAAGGAAAAGACGAGATCTATTCGCATTGTTTTCATCGGTAGTGCGTCACCAGCAAGAGCTGCTTTCAAAATTGCCTGGACTGGACTTTATCATCTACCGAAGAACTCTGACGGAACACTTATGACTTCGCGGCTTACTGATGGAGAAACAAAATCTCCTGATTCAGGTCATGGGTGCGATTTCATTTGTCCTGGTGAAGCACTTTGTATTCCAGCAAGATTAATTTGCAATGGAGTAGTTAATTGTCCAAACGTCACCTCGGGTGATCGAAAATTCTGGACAGCTGAAGAAAAACGAGCTAGAGAAGCGTACTCTGAAGATAGCCTCAGGCGTTTAGGATACCTGGATTTATTGGGTGGACTTCCATTAGGACAGTTGCATGACGAAGCTCCTGAGCTATGTGCAAGAGCCAGAAGTATTGGTGGGAATGATTGGACAGCGCCTGCTTTAGGTGCTGGATTAGCAATTGCTATCGGCGTGTGTGCTCTCGGCGCCGCCTGGCGCCTGTGCTGCCGCAAGCGATCTCCTGACGAAGAATCCCTGGATTACTGACATGCGGCCCGCGGTGCGCCTCACGCACCGCCATCGCTCCACTCGCGGTCTACTTCCAGGGACCTTCCTATGGATTGGAGCCTCCATTGACAGACGCTGTATTGAGCGCCGGAGCCCTCCTTTGTTGATTACTGAGAACCAAGTTCTTTGCTTGTTATTGTTAACCGGATAGAGGTAAATGTATACCTTACCATAATAAATAACACAATCCTGTCAATTTTCACTTAAAACTTTTCTATATAAATATCTGTATATAACGACAGTGGCAAGCAGTTGGAGTTGCGTGTTCAAGGCAAATTTTGGTAATGTGGAAAGTTTACGATTGAAGTGAATCAGTCTAATTTGTTAACAACGACAGTTGTTGCAGCCAAAAGTTTCCTTATAACTGTTTGGAGCTGTCATTATATTTTTACTAAAGTTAAATACTACAATTTCGAATGTACTTTATTGAAGACACTCCCGATATTTATCGTCTTTAATTTTAGGAGGGTAAGATTTCCGGCGCTCAAGTTGACGACGTTGTTTTGTAATTAATGTATATACCCTTATACCTAAATTAAACGTAACGTTAACTAATGCTTCAAACGAACGATCATAGGTTAGGGCAAGGTGATAGTAGCCAAACAGTTAAGTCATTATCAATTTAGGTAGTAATAGTGATGTTTTATAACATGGCATAAGTATTGACATTCCTGTGACGGGGATGGGTACAATTTTATGGTTTTTGAACTAATCACGTCTAGCATCAAGTTGACTCCTCTCATTAATGTGCTCGATAAAAGACCGCCAAGTTCGTTCACGATGACAATGAAGAAAGTTATACAGAAGTTTTGATTTTAAACGCTAGCTAAGTTACTTCATATCAGTATTGTAAAATAAAGTGCTCAATATTATGTGAACTTGGCGAACTTTTTCGTACACGCTGGCTTCAAAGCGATTTGACTGACTGCGAAATCATGTAATCTACTCGTTGTAATGTAAATATATTTGATTAGAAAATAAGATCGTTGATAGAATAAGCTGTGTTATATATCATTGATTTCTCGTTCACAATAATGTTGAATATTTAATTTGACAATTAATTCTGAATTTATGTATAATTGTAATCATCACAGGATTTAAATTTAATGCAAATGTTGATGCATAGATAAGTTTGTATTTAAATTTTAATAAAAACATATTTGATATTAAAACGAGTGTGTATGTGGCCAGGAATCAATGATATGTGCCTAAAAATAAACTAAAAAATACGCACTGCGGTAAGCTACAATTAGTTCTGTATCTGCAATAATATTTTTTATCAACTTGTAACATTTTATTAAGTTTTTAATAAATATTTGTAATTTATATACTTTGCACGGTTAGCTGTTAGATTATGTTCACTGAATTTATAAATATAATGTATGCTTCGATATATTATTGCAATTTGAACCGTATATCTTTGTGTTAAGGTGTGAGCAATATCTGTTATTGAAAACAGTTTTTGGGATGATAATTATTGCTTTTCTTTGTTTTTTAATGTCAGTGACAACCTACTTGCAATACTTCTTATATTGTGGTTGGCTACAAGGGAACAGAACGCTTACCATAACCATATTTGATATCTTCAAACAAAAACGAAGCGAAATACATTATCAGAATTCTTAAAATATTTTTAGTTTAATGTGTAACATTTATTTTATTTTAAACTAGCGGCCCGCCCCCGCTTCGCATATGTATCGCTATCTCGCTATCAAAGGGTCGTTTTTTCCTGATTTTCCCCTCTACCATTATAATATTTTCTTTAAGAACCTTCTCCTGACAATAACAGACACAACAAAAAAAGAATTAGCAAAATTGGCCCAGGCGTTGTCGAGTTATGCGCTTACCAACACATTTTGCGATCCATTTTTATATATAAGAAGATAATAGGTCCAAAGATGTTCCTCGCTTGAAACGTCTGCTTAATTTATTAACTAGATACAGCCAATCAGTAAAATCGTCAACGTAATGGATATTGCTCAAATCTAAGCCTTAAGTTTAGTACAATAATAATATATAGAAAAGTATAAAATTGTTTGCTGTGCTATTTTAAATAATAGCTTTATTTTGACGAGTAATTTAGATTTTGTTAGCATTTACCAGATGGGTAATGTTAAAAAAATAAAAATATATTTTGTACAAAATATTATACGTTTTATTTCTTAGTACGACCTTGTTGAAGTGGTTACAAATACGATTGTATTAGGAACCGAATCGCGGGGTATAGAGTCGCGGGGAGTCAATGGATGCAGGTGGCGAGTTTTCGTTCGACGTGGAAGACTAAGAGGGAAGCCTTCGTTCAGTAGTGGAAAACTTCCGGCTTATATTGATGATGATGTTGATATGATGATGCCAATTTCTGGGCAGGCAAAGTGTTGTTATGTGTTTTTCCTCTATTTTCATCTCGGATTCTTAAATGGAACCCGAAATATAGAACTAGGCTTACTATGTATTAATTTTCTTGATATAGGCTTCAGTATTAGTTACTTTGGGGTAAAATGTGAGTGTTTATACATTTTACATAATTATTTATTTATACTTTTGACACAAGTACAATGGCGAAATTATGTGCCTTCAACACACATTCAAGGACCAAAAGGCGTTACATTATGTTAATAGTCTAACTAGAACTTAACAGCCGGCCACCACAAACATGTTCCCGTTAATTACAAAGTCCAGTGGCTAAACGATATTTAAACATTGTGTTCATGGCTTTGGCAACATAATCAGCGGAGTTTCCCAGAATATTGTAATAAACGTCCTCATCCAGGAATTCTAGGGCGAATGTACAGGCGATTTTGACCTTAGCGTGTAAGCCTACGTCATTTCATGCCGGGGGTGCAGGTCAAGCACAATAATGTTCGACAGCCTGGAGCAGGAGAAGGAACGGGGTGGAGTCACTAAGAGAATGTCTTTCCCTCTTGGCCCATACAGAGCGGGAGAAGACATGTGCTAATTTGCCACCTCAAAAAGGGTGACCTTATTTTGTAAAATTGTAGGCATCATTTAATTTTAGTAACGGTAAGTAACATTGGGTTTTTATTGGATATTGCTTCGTGGAAGGTTAGAGAAAATAAATATGTTTTTTTAGCAATGCAACACAATTTCAGTAACTTAAAGATACACTGGTCAGAAAACATCTTTTTAACAATCACATAACTAACATTTCTTAAATATTAAATATCGTAAGACAGATAAAATTAGTTAAAATTAGCGTCTTACTCACGTTTATAAACTGAGAAAAGCTACTAGTTTCAAATTACAATTGGAATCTTGTTCAGGAAGACGACGCACGCTGAAAATATTAGAGCTTTTCTCAATTAATAAAATATTCACGTGAGTAAGTCTTTTTGTAATAAAAAACATACTAACTACCTACTCCATTTGAAGACATTCTCTCATACAAACGTCAAATATATAAATATGAAACTCAACAACAATACAACAGCATCAACGAACATGAAATCCACATTATTTACATCGGCAATAAGTATGCGACAGCAGATAAACCGTTCGTAGCACAAACCTAATGTCCCATACATTACAAGCCATCACCCTCCCAACAGCGATTATTCACAAAATTATTTATAGCAACAATATTTCATTGTATCTGTACCGTTCAGGAATACATAAATCCTGTACGACAAAGAGCACTTAAAATCTATAATACGATAGCATTTTTCATAGCTGTGTACTTGTGTACCCATATCGTATTGGTGGACGATGTTTGCAAATATTGAAGCACCTGCCCGTCGCGTCGCCGCCGGCGCCATTTTTATTTTTATGACATATTTTTTTATTCGTGTTCTTTTTTCATTTTTCAAAGTGACGTTCGTTTTGATTGTGACGTTTCGAAATATGAAATTGAATTTATTTTTTCTTTTTACAAATAACAATTTTATAGATATTCTGTCTATGTACAAGAAATGTTTAACATGGTTCGGTTTTAGGGAACCGTACTTTTTGGAAAATATACAGACAAGTATACTGAAACTAAAGAATAAACCTGTACAAATCTTCCAAATTATTTTATATTACCTGGAATTTTAAGAGACTGGCCTATAAGTTTGTTTGGGCTTCGGCATTTCGTGTCAGATTTCTTCGGCAGTTCTATATTAATATAGAACATTGATGAGTAAAAGTGCTGATTAACCTTTGATATCACTGAGCTGAACGCAGATCTACGCGAGACACAATGTGTTTTCTATTGTGTCTCATATACCAGCAGACGAGAGGTTAATGGCCTATTTTTTTAAATAAATATATTTTTAATTAGACATTATTCAGATAGGTATAAATAAATTAAAGTAATAATAACTGAACAGTCGTTTTATAAGCTGGCGTAACAGCGAGTGGATGACTGTGCCCTACCATGGTGGAATTATTGTCGCACAAAAAAATAGTATTTGCACTATTTCTAAATACACACAATGCAGTAAAATTTAAAACACATGGTTCTATTTCTTAACGATATAGTTGTTTCATCCCGGTTTTCTGTGAGGCCGTGGTATCAATCCGGTCGAACCGGCCCATTCAGGCTGAAGCTTGACTCTCCCACACTTAAACTTATGAATACTCATTTATACTACAATAAAAATCAAGTTTACATATGTATCAGCAACAAGAAATTTACTAAAACTAAATTTGAAACTAATTTTCACAGCAAATTTATAAACGTATGTAAAATAAAACTACGGGACATAAGTGGCAGTTCAACTATTCTCATTCCCATCTCATAATACGTGTGAGCGAGATGCAGATATAGGTAATAAGAAGGAAGAAAGGTTTCATTATGGCGTACTTTATTTGAACGTGTTATAAATTGAGAATCGCACGGTTAACGTTGGCTGAGGAGGAAACTAAGATCGCCGTAGTGGCTTAAGTAAATGGATTTAAAAATCGATGATAGTTTTGATCGAAGATACGAGGTTGTTTATTTAATATAGACTGTAAAATATATCTTAACAAGTTCTTGATCCTATCGGAATATTGGTTTTTGTATTGGGGATAACCTTATATATTCTCGATGTATTCGGTTGGGCAAAACAATAGCAAACGATCGCGTAATCGTTCATCAACCAGATGGACCGATCAAGTGAAAGATTCATCGACCTTCGAATTCTTTGCGGTAGCGAGAGATGTGCTGGATCGAAACCAATGCTACTCCGATGCATGCTGACCACGATCCTCAGACATGAGGCACTGACTATAAGAAGAAGAATTGGTTAGTATACAAGTCACACAGTGAATAAATTTTGTAAATTGGTTCAGTAATTTCCAAGTCTATGCAATGCAAATAAACGGATAGTTCGTTTATGTGCGTTTTATCTTGAACAATCTTATCTTCTATGCAGAATATGCAAATAGCAAAAAAGGAAAGAAAATAAATGCAAAAGTGAACTTTGTCGCCGCGAGTAAAAGGGAAGAATTAA